TTGCTGTTGATATGAATTTTATGGTTTAAGTGTACAGAACATGATATTTATTAAATAAAGGTAATACACCATACGTTAAAAAAAGCCCATTTGGTTGTAATATAAAATCTGAAAACTTCAGATTTTTTTTTTATTATTGTTACTTTAGTTATTATTTTCAGCTTTATCAGGAACATCAGCTTCTTAATTAATATAATTCGGAAAGGCGAAAGGAAAACACTAGCGAAGAAAGAAAAAAGGGGAAAATTTAAAAATAAATAAATAAATGTGTAGCTAAAAGACACGCAGATGGTTAATGTTTACGTTTACAAGTAATGCTTTCGAAAATGAGAGTAATAAAAAAAAATAAGAGAGATCATTGAGCAGTCAAAAATATTTTAGCTCTTTCCGAACGCTCGGTGAGCTAACATCAATATTAGCATATCAAAAACGCTAAAATTATTAAAACAATCTCTCTTTTCTAGGCGATACACTATCGACTAAAACACCGTTTCTGGAAATTCACCTCTATATTATAATGCGATTGGACACACTGGCAGATATTCATTTTATCTACGTTCGAGACCACAGTGGTATTCTCGGTAATGAGAGGGCTCAATCATTTGGCTAAGCAAGCGACTTATATTAATACTGATTTAATGTTGTCTGCTGCCAAGTCTTATTGGAAGTATGTGGTAATGAGAGGGCCAATCATTTGGCTAAGCAAGCGACTTATATTAATACTGATTTAATGTTGTCTGCTGCCAAGTCTTATTGGAAGTATGTGGTAATGAGAGGGCCAATCATTTGGCTAAGCAAGCGACTTATATTAATACTGATTTAATGTTGTCTGCTGCCAAGTCTTATTGGAAGTATGTGGCTTGGAAGAAAACTGCGGTTGATTGGAATGCTGAATATCGTACTTCTTCGAAGACCCATTGTACTAAGAGATTTTTTTCGAGGTGCTTTTCAACGACTTAAGTGTAGGCATTTTTCAACCAGGTTATAAACTTACTCAAATTTTGACCGGTCATAGCAATTTTGGAATTTACTTATCTGTGCTTGCGACGATGCTGTGGAAGATGTAGAACATATTTTATTTGGATTTCAAGTTGCATGCGAGTGCCAGATGTGCATTTAAAGCGAGTTTAGGGCACCTCTGTATGTGCTGGCTTCCTGCGTTCTATGATCGTTTTAGGAGCTCTGAAGCCTTTGCAGCCTTGAGCGACTTGATTTGTTGTTTGAGCCTTTACTATTATTATTTACATGATTGGATTTTTATCTTCTATGTGTCATTCTATTATTTTGCGTATTGTCTAAGCCTGATTACTTTATCTATTGATGTATTGTATTGTTAATGTATCATCTTTCCTTTGTATCAGTATTATTTTTTTAAGTATTATTTCATTTTTATTATTATTGGGCCATTATTAAGTTGGTTTATTTTCTTTTATAGCAGTATTAACCCAGTTCAATTATTCACGGTATATTTTAGTATCTTTATTATAATAGAATTTATATGCTGTTAGCCCAAAGGACGTTAGCCCAGAAGGGCTTTTAAGTTTGTTTTGGCATTTTGCGTTGATTTATTATAAATGTCGGTTCACTTTTCAAATTGTTGCACTAAATGTTAGAAACCTGTGTAATATATAAAGAAATTAAATAATGAAGAACCTGGAGAAATGCATATATGTTTCTCGCATTGTGACGAAACAACGATACCTAGAGCCATCAAATTTTAAATAACGTAATCTTCCACTGAAATATGGGATCCCAAATTTGGAATCTGAAATTTTTTTTATTATTGATTTCATATTTTGCAACATTTTAACGAATTTTTGATTAACAAATTACACGATTTCAAAGCGAGCAATGGCAACACTGTACGAAAAAAAAAAAAACATTTTTATCTCCGGCGCGCGAGACTGCATATCAGAAATTCTAGATATGCTCATTTTAAAATTATTTTGTAATATTGCTGTTGAATTTTATAGTTTAAGTGCGAAGAACATGATATGTAATAAATAAAGGCAGCACACAGAACGTTAAAAAAACGCTCCTTTGGGCGTATTGTGGAATCTGAAACCTTTCAGATTTTTTTTTCTATTTCTTTCTCTCTCTCTCAAGACCTAGATATTATGTTTTTGTTGTTGAATTATATTTCCTTGTATTATGAGTTATTTACTTACATCTATAAGCCCCGTGAAATATTTCATGGAGAATGATTAGTTTTGCATTTTTCTAATTAATAAAAGTATAAATAAAAATCTAAAAGTTTCAGAACATTTTTCATTTGATAACTTGTTTTGGCAAAACCAATATCATGCCAAATGTTTAGAATTATTGTTATTATTGCATTCATTTATCGTAACATTCAGAGACTGAATGCTTAAATCTTGAAGGAAATCCATTTCACTGCTAAATATTGCTACCTATTATAAAGTATTCATCCAAGAAAAATGCTAAATTAATCCGAAAAGAGCTCTTAATAATATGGGATGTATCCCCGTATTCTCACCAAGATATAAGGTGATATTTAGCCAGGAGACTAAGGAAGTCGGAGTAACAGAAATTTTACAACAAATACGTTTAATTTAAAATTTACACTAAAATTATCTAATAAAGATTTAATTCAGTCTTACTAAGTGTTGAAACTGTAAAACATCAGACACATATTTTTAAAACATGAGAGCAGATGAACAATGATAGTTAAACTGGATTCCGCATCCAAACTCGCACGCTTACTAGATGAGCATTTTCCTGGTTTTCCTCATGTATAATGTAAGTATATGTTAATTTTCGTTATAAAATTCTATAGGAAAGCATCTGACCCCAGGCAGATAATTCTCACGTAGTTTGCTATAATGTATTAAACAAGTAAGCATACGTGAAAACAAAACAATGCCAAAAGTAACAGAAATAAATAAATTGACGACGCTATGACTTTTACCCTTTTTCAAAAATCCTTTCTTTATATTATAAAAATAAAAAATTTCTAAAACGAGAGAAACGCTGCTGTATTCAAAAATTTTTCAATTTCAATTCTTTGTACTTAAACCTTAAAATTCAATTCAACAGCAATATCACAAAAACAGAAACCTCGCGATAAAATATCCATGCTTGAACATACATGCGATGCTAATGTTAATGAAACGCTTTGAAATCGTTGAGTTCGTTACTCAAAAATTAATTTCTTTACTTTTTAAAAAAACGTTATATAAAATATGAAATAGATAATATAACAAATTTCAATTCCAAATCTGGGCTTCCAGATGCCCATATTCGAGTGCAGGACTATGTTATTCAAAATTTAACGATTAACCGGACGTGAAGGTCGCCTACTGGCCATATCAGATTTTTCATATTCTATACTCATTCCTTTTATTTTATGTCAAATAGTCTTGAACCTTTCGAATACTTGAGTTAAAGGCCATTTCTTACAAATTATACGTTAATGTGTAGTTTACAAATAGAAAATAAGGAATTACAATTAATGTTACCTATAACCAAAATCCATTAATATTATCAGCAATCTAACTATCCTTTGCATATTGTTATTTCAGTATTGAATGTCTTTTCTACAATAAATATTGAATAAATAAATCACACTATTATTTTTTAAATACATTTTATTATTTTATTTACAGATTTATCAGCACTTTTGTATAAAGATCGCAAACGAAGCGAATCGTACAACTTCAGCGCTTAAAATCTGCTGATATACATACAATATTTACAGGACTCTACAAGATATGTATTACATTTTATGCGTATCAGAGGTATTTAATCTCTATGAATACATCTGGCCTTTATTATATTATCCATACTTTCTCTGTTACCTCCAATAAAATAAAAATGTTTTGCACAGTATGAATAATTTCATCTTCCTGCTGCTGCATTTAGAAAAAACGGCAGATTCATTTATAAACATCCCTAAATTTAGAATCCCAAGGGGAATATTCCGTAAATTTAATTTATTTAAAACTCTGCTACTTCACAATTATCTAATTCCTAAATCAGTAATAGCAATTCATATGCCATATTATAATTTAAGATTCATGCTGCAATTTAAAAATTTTAAATTATTAGAAAGAACTAAGTATGTATATAAGGTATCTCTTCAGCCTTCTTAGCATACCTTCGTGATGTAATGGTCAGCACGCTCGGCGCGTATTCGAGAGGTCCGTGGTTCCTGTTCCGGGGAGGGCATTGCTCTTTTTTCATCTCTCCTGCTTACAAAAAATAACTAATGTCTCTAGAGTATGCATCACCTTTTTAGTTCAGGCGCCACTATAGAGACATTAGGTATTTTTTGAGAGCAGGAGTGATGAAAAACGAGCAATACCCTCGCCTGGACTCGATTTACGGATTCGCGCTGACAGTGCCGACCATTACACCATGAAGGCACGCTAAGAATGTGGGAGAAACACCTTATAAATACTGTTAAAGTCCTCAAAATTATTACAGTAGACGCCGCTTAATGTGATCTAAGTTATTGTTAATAATCTGCCGAAGTCCCGCCCGTTTGTGCACAAAAACATAGAAATTACGTCACTTACTCTGATCAAGCTACTATAAAGAATAAATTGTAATAATTTATAGAATTTTAAATAGCCCACCAGCAGTTGAGCGGTAAATTCCCTGAATACTAATGGTTCTGTATGGAGTTCGAATCCCGGCAATAGGCTGTATCTATTGGTGTTTTCGCGGTTTATCTCATGTATAATGCGTATACGAGCCAGTTTCTCATAGAAAGTCCTCCATGAAGGCATCCCTCTCCTTAGGCAGATATTCTTCCAGTACTTTACTGTAACGAAATAAACCAAATCAAACCATATTAGAAAAAAAAATTTAACTGAAGTCGCTAAATAAGGTCAAAAAGTTGCCAGTGACCAAAAAATGGCGCTAAACAGTTTGATGTCGATAACAGCAAAGAACTTCTTCAACTATTTAAAAGTAGGCAAAATTTGTAACCTTAGTTTTGATTAGATTTTGCACAACTCTATCGATTTTGAGGGCGATCAGAACGAGTAGTTCTTCCTCTGAAAAAAAAAGAAAAAAAAAAGAAATCTGCAGAAAGTTTTCTTTTCCCTTGGTAAAAAAATCCATGATAACATCTACGATGAACTAAGGTTGCTTTTTTACTTAAATTCAAGCCTTCAAGATGCCTTCCCAATATTAAGATCGGGGATAAAGCCTCGGCCAAATGATTTCCAAAAACGTTAAAAACAATTCACAAACAAACTTATTATTGTATTTTCCTAGTTAAAATGCTGTGGAAATAAATCTTAGTATGTTTCTGGTTATATTTATACTAAATAAGTTACATTTTATTGATATTTTGAAGGAGCTGTTTCTCATTGTTTAATGTTGTCAAAATAAACATGGACAAACGGGATCACATTAAGCTACGCTTACTGAAATATTAAACTAAGCCTAGCACTTTTGTATAGTAGTTTTTAAAAATTCACAAAAGTTTGAATAGTAACGTATTTTTACTTATTTTAACAAATAGTTTCTTTCCCATTTTATTTTAAGTTGTATTTTTTACTTGTGCATTACGGACTATGAGCAAACAATCTTCATTATGATGCAGTAAGTAATTCGTCATTTAGCACTAACTGCTATAATATGAGTTATTTTCTGCACCATTAGTTGATGCGATTGAGGAAATGTTTCGACTATGTCTGTCCTTACAGTTGGCCACCACATCTCAGAATTGAACATACATTCACTTTTACTATAGAAAAAATTAAATGCATAGTCACTCCTAATCATATGAATTTATATTCATCGTCCTGCACCTGTTTTAACATTAACACCTTTGCCTACTTCGGCTCCAAAAAATACCCTTCCTTTTAAATTCAGAATGGGTTTAGGTAATATTCCAATAGGAACTAGAGGTTCTTCTACTGGAGCTGGGGCTGCAGGCACGGGCTTTGGAGCAATAGGATTCACAATTGGTGGTAGAGGTTGGATTATTGGAGATACTGGTTTTGTAACTTGAACATCAACAGCTGGAGGTTTAATTCCAACATTTACGCCAACACCAATAATATTAGCACTTGTTCCGATATTATTACTTCCAGAATTTTCAATAACCAAGGAAGATCCAAAATCGTTGTTTAAATTCCTATGAGCGGAAGGAGTGCTTTGTTGGGGGTCAACATTTTGCTGTTGACCTATTTGATGTTGTTGATAGTTTTGAGGTTGTTCGTTAGAAATAGCTTGATTTGGTTGGATGTTCTGCTGTTGTTGTTGCTGTTGCTGCTGCTGGAAAAGTGCTTGCTGTGCTTGCAGCTCTTGTAATTTTAGTAGTTGCTGCCGAAGTTGTTGTTCCCGCTCTAGTTGAAGCTGTTGGTCACGTAGAAGCTGAAGTTGTTGTTCATGGGCTAATTGCGATTGCTGATCTTGTACATTTTGTTGCACATTGTCAGCTTGCGACCCTTGGTAATGATTAAGTGGCTGCTGATGATCCCTGGGATTATTAAGAGTAAGGCTTGGTTGTTGATGCGGCTGCACAGGATTATTAAGAGTGTGGCTTTGTTGTTGATTCAGTAATTGTTGTTGATGAAGATTTTGTTGTTGATTCAGCAATTTTTGTTGATGAAGATTTTGTTGTGGATTCAGTAATTGTTGTTGATGAAGATTTTGTTGTTGATTCAGTAATTGTTGTTGATGAAGATTTTGTTGATTCTCATTGTGAACCTGTTGATCATTTTGTTGAAGTAAAGGTTGTTGTTGCTGTAGGAGTTGCTGATACTTTTGTAATTGCTGAATTTGTAACAACAATTGCTGGTTGAGTCTGTCGGTATCTAATCCTTGTAATGCGTTCGGTCCATTGTTTGCAAAATTTGTGTTAATCGTATTTAAATTTGGATTTTGCAAATTCAAACTTAAATCATCATTTTCATAGCTATCGATACCTCTTATGTTAGAGTGGTCGTCATATAATTCATAAGGAGCATCATTAGCAGGATCATAGTAAGGTTCCGCTTCCAAAGCATAGCCTCGACTTTGTTGTTGTTGCTGATCTGCGTTGTAATTCTGTTGACTTCCTGACGCATTATTGCTGTAACTAAAACCATTTTTGCCAAATACGTAGTCTCTTGGGTCGTAAGGCTGCTGGTATGTTTCTCCAACACGATTACTGAATAATCCTAGAGGCTGCCGAGCCTAAAGAAAGTAAGAAAATACACATAAGTAAGAGATTTCTAAAAGGAAAACAAAATTCTAATACATTTGACAAATAGCTTTAGCTTTTATCCGTTCTTCGATATATTATTCCTATTTTATTAACAAATTTTTATTAAAAGAAAGTTAGTTAAGCCTTCGTTTTATTATTGGCTTAAAAGCGCGTTAGCCCAGAATGGCTATTAGTCCCTAAATGGGATTTTGCGTCGAATTCCTATAAATGGCTGTATCACTTTTCAAATTATTGCCATCAAATATTATCGCCCTGTATTATATTTAAAGAAATTAAATAGTGAAGAAGCTCCATGAATGTATGTATGTTTCTCGCATTGTGAAAAAACAACGGTACCTACAGTGATCAAATTTTAAATAGTGTTTAAAAATAATAAACTTTATCGGTACTGTGTATCTGCATTTAGAAATATTAATGAATTTTAAAATGTAACAATAGTTTAGATGCTCAAGAATGGCCCACTAGATAAGGCCACCGATCGCTAATAGCTCAACGGAGATTCGGCTGCATGGGCGTTTTCATGGCTTTCTCCATGTTTAAAGTATATACCAGCCAGTTTTCCTTAGAAAGTTCTCTATGAAAGCATCCCTTCTTTTAGGCAGATAGCCTTTTCGTAATTTGTCATAAATAAACAAACCAAAGCAAACAAGCCAGTGGAGGTTTGGATCCCAGCAAAAGACCAAGCTGCATGGCTGTTCGTAGTTTTCCTCATATGTAACGTGAATATGAAGCTAGTTTCCCTTTGAAAGTTATCCAGAAAGCATCCTTTCGTCAGATAGACAGTGATATGAGCTTTCGTTGTAGTTCTTTAAAGAAATAATAGTAGTTTATATATATATTTCGAATAATAATTAAAATGAACAGGCAGGAAATTCACCTTTTATATTATTGAGACAATAAATAAATACAAAAGTACTCTCCATACACAAATTAATTTTATGAGCATATTGAAATGCCCATAAATTCAATATTTGAGAGAAAAAATTCAAACATGATATAAATATTTATGTTTAATATTTTAAGCTATCGAATTTAAGTGCCTTAATTTTTATTTTAGAATATTACCAAAGAATAAATCAGATTATTATCGGGATTTTTTTAAAATTTTAAACTGTCGATTACTTGTAAGAAATAGAAACCTGAGTTATTTCTTTAATATTAATCTTTAAACGGATCGCAAATTTTCCAAAACTGTCATGAGAAAGAAGTATTTTCATGATTTTCAGTCTAAAATTTTCTTGCTGTTTTATACCTTAATTTCTCGGACATATTTCAAAATTTGCTTATATATGCTTTCTTAAAGACATTACAAAAATAATCTAATCTAGGCTGTACATATGCAGCCTTGCCTGTCAGAAGGTTTTAATTGTGATATAAAAATATAAAGATATTTCGAATAAAGTATTTTGAAGCCTTCCAGACGGGAAAGCGGTTAGTGACTCTGACTACCGTACCTAAGGCCCCGAGTTCGAATCCCGGAGAAGGAATGAATGTAATATGTCCGTCCTCACATAGGAGGCAACGGTGGCCGAGCTATTTGGTGTCTCCATAATAAAATGACCACCGCCTTCGGTCTTAGTAGTGACCAACGTGTGTGATGGCTCGGGCCTCCTATCGGGAGGGAGGGGGAAAGGTATTTTTAAAGATGGCTTGAAATAACGGGTTTTATGTTATGCTTATGCTGATTACTGGAGAAGTATAGCAATAACCTCTTTCTTTAAACTGTACGGTTACTATTATTTTGCATTAGTAAGTTATTTTTAGTTTCAGCCTTTACTATTACTTCTCCTTTTCCGTTTCCTTACCAGAAATGTATAGTATTTAAGCTCAGTAATTTGGATTCCAGACAGAAGTGTTTCTGCTCTCCAGCCACATTACTAATTCGCCAGCTCGGATAATATTGTAAGTCTTCGGTCTTGTATTATTGCTGCCGGAACTTTATTGCTACGCCGGTGAGACGTTCTGAACCAACCTAGTTTAAAGTCAGTTATGTTGTTTGCGACTACTAGGTTTAGTTTAATTTTGAATTTGATTGTTCTTTAAGTTACATTGCCGGAAGTGGTGGTTGATTTTGTCAAGCACGAGAAGTAAGTTTTATATTCAAGTTTACTAAAGAAAAAAAGCTAAGTTTTAACCTTTTCAAGACTCTGTAGTTCAATCCAAACACAGCGATAATTTTCTTAATGTTTGTAAGGTGTTTAACACTAATTTATGCTCTTAAAGAAAGTCAAACTCTTTACAACCACGGAAGACCAAATGTTAAATAATACAAAATAATGTTTCGCTTTACACAATGTTTAAAACGTCGCTCCGTTTAAAAGGAATTCTACCGTATTGTAAACATTTTTAATATGACGATTTAAACTTACGTGTAATGAATAAATGTGTGCTCTCGCTTTATAATAGCTCTAGCTTTATAATTTTCTCGGTAGTTCTTTCTTTTCGAAAGACGATTATCTCTAAAGAAATGCAACGAAACATAACACGTCGTGCATAAGTCTCTGTTAGATGTTCACACTTATAATTAGTATATAACTTTTTTTATTATATATGTATAGTTCCTTTTTTGTCTGATTATATAGTTTTCACTGTCTTATAGTCATTCATTAAAATTCAGTTAAGCAGTCTCTTGCATGAGCTCTAGAACAGCTTTCATCGACTTACGTAACCTAAGAAAAATATTAAAATAATCTTGAGATCTTAAGAAATGTTTGCGTAAAGCTTAATCAAAATCCGTAGCGTTTTCCTGTATCTAGAGGTTCTTATGTTAAGTTCTTGTCTTATATCTAAGGTTACCTGTCTTGCGTTAAGATTCTGCAAGATCCTACTAAAGCGGAAGCAAGTTATCGCTTTAGTCTGGAACAAATCTCAAAGCATAGAGAGGGCTAAAATAACCTTTTTATTTAAGTCTTAAAATGAAGAGAAAGACACGGCTTGTGCAACAGATGAACCTCCACTATTTATAGGAATTTAAATTAGCATAAGGTAATGTTAAGTTCAAATGTAAGTAATGTAGTTTGAGACTACGCATAAAATAGATTATTCATGCTGATCCAAGAAAGTTAAAGGCTCGTATTTGAATGTCGGCTAGCAAGATGATAGCCGGAATAAAATTTAGGAGAGTTATCGGTACTAAGCAACAACTCTAACTGCAACCATTCAAACACTCGGCTTAAATACAGAAACAAGTAATCTGCATTCTAGTGAGGGCTACGGATAGGAGAAGATACAGCAAAGGTTTTAATCACAATAACTGGTTAACTAACATAAAATACTTAATAAATCTTACGATTCATTAGTATGATTAGTCATTTAATTTCGTTAAGTTGTAATCGTAATAAAGCAATAATAATTTTTTCTACCTTTTCTTCTTAAGAAGTTTTTTGTTTTGTAAGACAAACAGGATAATTAATTTTTATTATATCTCTTATGGAAGATAAATTTACATTAAATCCAAAAAATTCATAGAATTATCATTTATAGAAATAAACGTATTAGACAACTATCTGAAAGAGTATGAAGCGATAATTTAATGGAAATATTGTATCACATTACAAGAAAAACATCGTAGCGTTTCACATCAAGTCTGTAAGAGATCTTTGGGTTATTTAAAACTAAAAATGGCTATTTATTCAGCATTTCCTGAAAAAAAATGGCAGTTACGCTTAAATTAACATTCCTGAAGTTAATCTTTCTTTTTCCCTAAAGCTCACAAGGAAAATATTTGCTAAGTGATTATCTCAGCTAAAGCAGTATTTCTTTTACGCTGTAAATAAAAAATAAAAAATAGACAATTAATTAAACAGAAAATAAAGTATTTTATATTAATGTTATTTTGTTGTTTTCCCATAAAAATATTTATTAAGTTTTGGTTGGAATATTTACGATTATATTGTTTTGGCAACAGCTAAATATCGAATAAGTCTTGCTTCTAAACATTTATGTAAACAATAAGCTGCATTTCAGGGAAATTCATTTATATTTTACTAGCTGATAACGCGACCAGCCGCTTAAAATAGTTATCACAAAAACGACTACATATATTATTAATATTAATTTTTGGTTATATCCTAGGAAACAAAAAATAAATATTAATTTAACTGGAGAATTTTAAAAGTTTAAGCTTTGTAAGTGCTGTAAAACTGTCGAAAACAACATGTGAAAAATATATTAAATTTAATTTAAATTATTTTTAATCAATAAATTTAAAAATTAGAAGTTAAAAAGGAAAGAAAAAGTAAAATAGAACACACGAAAAAAATAAGATTAGTTATTGCTGATCTCGTAGAAAGATCCTGTCTTTTCAAAGAAAATTATTCTATTTTCATAAAATCATCAGTAACCGGAATGTGATCACCTTTCGGCTCTTTGTATTTTTGAATTAGACTTGTATGTCAAATGTAAAAAAATACGAATGAGTGTAATACTCAAATTTAAATCTATTATTAAAAAAAATACGAAATAAACTCCCCAGAGCGATGTAAGACAGTAGAAATGTAGTATACAATGGAACAATATACTAAACATAAAAAAGTAATGAAGAGATACTAAATTTCAGTAAAAATTATTCAATAAAAGCAAATCTAATACATTTTAAAAATGTCTTATGTAAAAATTTTAATTTATAAGGTTATTACTATGTTGAACGCCGCCCAACCGGTATAGCGGTTAACTTCGCTGATTGCTGTGTTAAAGGGCACGAATATTGAAGAAGGCACGGATGTTTGTAAATGTATAGTGTCCGTGCGGCATGGGGGGCACTCTTAATCTGCGGCGACCCGAAAGTCCCCTCGAGAGGTTGTTGGTAAGGATAGTGGGGGGGAAGAGCCTGGGACCCGTTCTCCCGGGTTCTCTCCATCAAAATTTGGAGCGGATCTGAGCTAAGTCGCACTGTCACCTGTAAGTTCCTCAAGACTGTTGCCAACGACAGACGTAATCTGTCGTGGGCTTGGGCTAACTATAAGTCAGA